TTGTCTCTGTTTCCTCTTACTCCGAGAGTCTTTGGGTGTGTCTGCTTTGTTCAAACTTTGGGTCCTGGTTTAGACAAGTTAGATGCACGAGCTACGAAGTGCATCTTCCTCGGATACTCCAGGACACAGAAAGGGCATAAGTGCTATAACCCTTACTCTCATAAGTCATTTGTTTGYTCCGATGTCACCTTCTTTGAATCGGTTCCTTTTTTCTCAGATATTGTGGTTCCTTCTCCTTCCCTTGTAGTTCCTCTTCCTATCCCTGTTGAGGATCCTCTTCCCATGGTCCCCATTCGAGTTGCAATCCCCCCTATAATTCCTCCTCCCGTGCCAGTTACTATTGAGAGGCCACCAATCAGACAAGTGTATAATCACAGACAAGCACCGGCCTCTCCTCCACTTCAGCCCTCGTCGACAGATCCTGTGGTTGCTCCTCCTCCCTCGAACCTTGATCTTCCTATTGCCCTGCGGAAAGGTAAACGCACTTGTACTTCTCATCCTATTTCACACTATGTTTCAGTTTCTCACCTTTCTGCTTCTCATCGCCACTTTATATCCTTGCTCTCATCTGTTTCCATCCCCAAGACTATCCAGGAAGCCCTTACCTCCCCAGAGTGGTGGCAAGCAATGGAAGAGGAACTATCTGCTCTACAACACAACCAAATGTGGGACCTCACTGCTCTTCCTCCTGGTAAGCATGTTGTTGGGTGTAAGTGGATCTACATAGTGAAGTATCTTCCCGATGGCAATGTGGAACGATTGAAAGCCAGGTTAGTGGCCAAGGGCTACTCTTAGTTGTATGGTGTGGACTATATGGAGACATTTTCTCCTGTGGCTAAAATTGGTTCAGTTTTGGTATTGATTTCATTAGCTACTATGTATGACTGGCCTCTTTTGCAACTAGACATTAAAAATGCCTTCCTACATGGTGATCTCATTGAGGAGGTGTATATGGAGCAACCACCAGAGTTTGATGCTCAGGGGGAGGATGGTAAGGTTTGTAGACTCAAAAAGGCAATTTATGGACTGAAGCAATCTCCATAGGCATGGTTTGGTAGGTTCAATGAAGTAGTGAAAATCTTTGGGATGAAACAGTGTCAGGTAGACCATTCTGTGTTTAGCCATGACTCAAAAGATGGGAAGATCTTGCTAGTTGTGTATGTGGATGATATTGTCATAACTGGGAGTGATAGTAATGGGATTGACAGGTTGAAGAAATTTCTACAAGACCACTTCAATACGAAAGATTTGGGTAAGCTGAAGTATTTCCTGGGAATAGAAGTTGCAAGGTCAAGACATGGAATTAATTTATGTCAAAGAAAATATGTTCTTAACCTACTTGAAGAAATAGGATTGTTAGGTGCTAAACCAGCAGACTCCTATGGAACTGAATGTCAAGTTGAGTGTTGATGCAGGTGAGGAATTAAATGACCCTGGAAGTTACAGGAGGTTGGTGGGAAAGCTGAATTATCTGACTATTACCCGACCGGATATATCATTTGTTGTGAGTATGGTGAGTCAATTTATGCAACATCCTCGGATTCCTCATTGGGAAGCAGTTCTAAGGATTGTTAAGTACCTGAAGGGTGCTCCAGGCCGTGGTTTGCTATATAAAAGTGGAGGGCCCCTTGAGATAGTAGGGTATATAGATGCTGATTGGGATGGTTCTRTATCAGACAGGAGATCAACTACAGGGTATTGTACCTTCCTTGGTGGCAATCTTGTAACTTGGAAGAGCAAAAAACAAACTGTGGTGGCAAGGAGTAGTGCAGAAGCTGATTACAGAGTTGTGGCTCATACCACATGTGACCTAGTATATTTGAAGAACTTGTTACAAGAGATGGGGTTCTCAGTTGATAAACCGGACAAACCCATGAGACTATACTATGATAACCAAGCAGTTGTTCACATCTCTTCCAATCCAGTCTTCCATGAGAGAACCAAGCATATTGAGGTTGATTGTCACTTCGTAAGAGAGAAAGTGATCAGTGGAGTGATAACCACATCTCATGTGAGCTCGGGAAATCAGTGGGCAGATCTCATTACAAAGGGATTGTCTCGAGGCAGAGTAGATTATATTTGTGATAAGCTGGGACTATATGACATATACTCTCCAGCTTGAGGGGGAGTGTTAGAGTTCACAGAACATGGGTATTTTGGTCATTTGGGTGCATCTATGTGAGAGTGAAAGGTCTATTTTATTCATGTCTAAGTTGTGTGTCCCATCACTTATGAGGGGCAATATTGACTTTCTTGTAACCAAACTTATGTGAGATAAATGCAAGTGGGTCGACTAGAGAGGACAAATTTTCCACATCTGGCCGAACCCTTCTTCTCCTCCTTCATCTCTTCTAATTCCTTCTCCTCTTTTTCTCTACTTTAACCTAGAATCTAATAGGGATTTTACAGAAACTACTGCTACTGAGGCTGGAAGAAGCCAGACTATTGAGATTCCTTAATCTGTGACTGTTCAAAACTGAACCAGAAGGAGCAAAGCTGTTGTTGCCCTGAAGAAATCAGTAAACAGATGGAGGAAGAAAAAAAATCTGTTGCCGCCCAGGAGAGAAGACCAGAACTGCTCCAAGATTTGTCAGTTCCCACTGATTTTCTGAGAGAAAAAGGACCTGGGCAACACAACCAGTCAGAAATCCTTCTAGACAGAAGCTTCCAAGAGAAACTAGGGTAAGGATTGAAGAGAACAGCCCTAACACCAGCCAAACCATGATTTCAAATGTCGCCAAATGTTGCTAATGTCGCCCGACATATGTCGATGTCGAGGCTCACCGACATGAAAGTGGATGGTAATATAAAAATTACATTATGTTGGTCGACATTTCCTATATTTCGGAAATGTCGACCAAATCGATCCAAATAACCAAAAAAATACAGTTTTTCCTATTGTGTCGACAAGATGTCAACTAATGTACATTA